TCCTAGTATTTAAATTTATGTCTTTTATCACATTTGTGGTCTTTTTATTGTACCACTAATTTAAAGAGTATTAAAAATCTTCCATAATGATTTTGGATTTATGTCATTTTTTATGTCATCCTGATAATTTTCACATTATATGTATTGAAGTTGTGTTATTAAGTACATACAAATTGATAGTTCATCCTGTTGAATTGCTATTTTAGTAACTTTTTAACCTCTTATCTCCTCTAATGGTTTTAGCAATAAGTCTTCTTTGATCCTACTATGGCTACATCAACTTTCTTTTTTAAATTTTAAAAATTTATTTGTATTTTTATGTGTATGAATGTTTTGCTTGCATGTATGTTTGTTTGCACCAGTGCTGTCCAAAGCCTGTGGAAACCAGAAGAGGGTGTTGGGTCCCCTGGATCTGGAGTTACAGACAGTTGTTAGCCACCATATGGGTCCTGGGAATTGAACCTGGATCCTCTGGAAAAGCAGTCAAGTGTTTTTAACCACTGAGCCATCTCTCTAACCCTCAGTGTTCTGTCTTTTGATTGGTATTTACACAGTTGTTTTTTTTTTTCTCTGATGTATTTTTCTTTTAATAGAATTATTTTAAGTTCATTTATGTATTTGAGCTTGTCTTCTGGTTCAATAACATACTGTGTATGATTTTGGTGTTTTACTTATTTTCATATTTTTATTTTATTTTATTTTTATTTCAAATATCTTTTATTTATCATTTGGCAATTGTGTACATGTATACAATGTTCACCCCCAACTTCTCTCTCCCGCTCCCTTTAGACATCCCCCAACATGTCCCCCTCCCACCTCTGTGCCTTCTCCTTTTAAAATTCTTTTTCCATTATCGGGGCTGGAGAGATGGCTCAGCAGTTAAGAACATTGGATGTTCTTGCAGAAGACCCGGGTTCAAATCCTAGCACCCACATGGCAACTAACAACTGTCTGTAACTCCAGTCCCAGGGGATCTGACAGCCTCTTCTGACCTCTGTGGGCATTGCACGACACAGGTGCACTTACCTACAGGCAGGCAACATATGCATACATATAAAATAAAAATAATAAATAAAATTTAAAAAATTTCTCCCATTGTATATTATTGAATTTTTGTGTGTTTCATGCAAAACATCTTAATCATTTTTAGACCCCTTCCCCTATCTGTACTTCTCCACAGCCCACCCACAGGGTTTCATGCATTCTGTCATATATGTTAAGGCCTATTGAGTTAAATTTATTTACCTAGATGTCCTTCGATGTGAGTTCATCCACTGATGCCTGGTCAGCCTATCTAGCATCACTCCCTTAAAGAAGATGGACTCTTCCTCAACCAGCAGTGACCAGCTGCCAATAGTTCCTCAGCTGAGGTTGGGGCCTGCTGCCCTTTTCCCCAGTTTTATGCTGAAGTTGTCTGAGTTTGCCATGGTCTCTTGGATGCTGTCACCATTGCTCTTAGTTCATATGAGCAAGTTCCCAGCAGCCTGGAGGACTCTGTTTCCTTATGGTCATGTACCACCCCTGGCTCTTACAATCTTTCGACCCCCACTTTCACAGTGGTCCCTGAGCCTTGGGTAGGTGAGGTTTAATATGAGTCCTATCCAGGGACACACACTGTATAGTCTCTTATTTTCTATATTTTGGTCAGTTGTGACCTGTGTTTATTGCCCTCTATTGCATGAAGTTTCACTAGTGAGAGCCAAGAGATGCATTAGATTCTCTCTAACCCTTGTTCCATTATGTTCTGTGATTCTTAGGTGAAGAGGTTCCATTGTAGACGTGTCACTTAGAGCTGGGCATTTCAAAGACACTTACTTTCTGTATGTGACTGTTGTATAATTCTATAATAGGCTCTATTACAAGAAGAAACTTTTTTGGTGAGAGGTGACTGGTAAACATAAGGATACATAGTATATACTAAGAAATTACATTTGTCTATAGGTATGACAGATGTAGGGTTTTCTATAGGCTCTATGACTCCTTCAGCTATATGTATTTGGCTGTGTTTACAGTGCCACACATGAGTTCTTTCCCATTAAGTGGGCTTTAAGTCCAGTTAGATAGCTGTTGATTACACCCAAGATAAAAGTGCCACTACTGCATCAATATAGTTTGCTGTGTTGATCATTGTTTTGGTTATTAGTTTTCACTGTTGGAGTTGGGCCATTGATCGATTTTCTCCCTTAGCAGCTTGCATAGTATCCTCTAGAATTATGAGAGCTAGTCTTCAGAGAGGAGATAATACCTGCTGTTATTCCCCACCTCTTGAGCTCCTTCTTCCACTTTACCCCTGTGGTTTTTTGTATATCCTTCCCATTTAAATGTCCCCCTCCCCCCACTTCCTCCTTGGTAGCATTTGTTTCCTACAGCCCCCCTCCCTTCTCAGACTCTATCTGTCCCTTTGGCGCCATGGTACCTTTCCATTTTTCTGGCTCCTGCAGTTGCATCAGAATATATACTCACATATAAAGATTTGGTGTTATGATCCACAAATGAGAGAGACCATACATTGCTTGTTTTTCTGAGTCTGTGTTTCTTAATACTATAGTTTCTAGTTCTATCCATTTACCTGCAAATTCCTGATTTTGTCCTTTCTTTACTGCTGAGTAGGACTCTATTGTGTAAATGTACCACATTTTCATTATCCATTTATCAGTTTAAATTTTTCTATAAGCTGCTGAATCCAGTTAGTTCTGCCTGCTGGTGTGTTAACTGATCTTGTTGACTTGATCTTGTACAGGTCTTTCAAGCAGGTAACAATATCTTCAGTGATTTCATGTCATAGCCAGAAGATAGCATCTCATAGTACTCCTCTCCATCCTCTGGCTCTTATATTCTTTCTGCCTCCTCTTCCTTGATGTTCCCTGAAACTTGCGTTGGGGTTGATATAGATGTCCTGTTTAGGACTGAGCACTCAACAGTCACTTACTCTCAGCACTTTAACTAGTTGTGAGTCTCCGCATTAATTGTTTGCTACTGTAGAAAGAAACATCTCTGATTGGGTTTGAGAGCACCAGTAATCTATGGGTATTCACTTAAATATTTAGAAGGTAGTTTGACAACATGTCCATTTAGAAAAACAACAATAGTACATTCACAGCTAGGTTTACAGTATCAAACATGAATTTCGTTTTGTAGAAAAGGCCTCAAATCCAGTCAGAAAGCAGTTAGTTACCCCCATAACATCCATGCCATTATTGTGTCAGTGGACACATCTTGCCTAGCAGGTCTGTATTGTAGTATTCAAGGTTTACTGTTGGCTAATGCCAGTGGTGCCTTTCCTTCCCCAGTACCTTCTCATACTATGAGAGCTAGCCAGCAGGGAATTTCAGTCTTTTAAATGTATCAAAATATTTTGGTTTAAATTATCTGTGTTCTTTTTATTTATCCATCCCACTCAATGTTCTTTTTCCTCTCCTTCCTTACCTTTCTTTGGGTCAGATGGATATATTTTTGTTTTTCTAATGTTTTCTCCTTTAATTTAGAAGTTGTACTTTTATTCTGCTTTTTAGTGCTTATCTAGAGTGTACTGTGCACCCTTACAATCTAATATTAATTAGTGCTTTACCCTTTTCCTCAGCAATGTAAGAACTACATTTGATACTTCTTAAGTGTCACTAGTATTGAATTTTTAACTATCCTACTAGGTGAATAAGATTGTATTTTATTGTTCTTTATTAATGCAATGTAATTTCAGGCGGTTTCTCCCCTACTTAAACTTTGTAGTACTTGTAAAATTAAGATGGATGACAATGTTTCTTTGTTTTGCTTTTTGAGACAGACTCTCACTTTGTAACCAAGACTGGATTCAAACTCATGATCTCTCTACCTCCTCTTTCTGAGATCTGAGATTACTAGCCAGGACTACCACACCTGGCTGACTTTTTTTGTTGTTTTTTTTTTTTTTGGACAGGGTCTCCTGCATCCCATAACTAGTCTCAAATTCACTATATAGCAAAGGATGAACTTCTGATCCTCCTGAGTGTTGGGATTACAGACATGCGCTACCATGCCCAGTTTCTTTGTTGTTGGCGGGGGGGTCAACTGAGCTACTTCCCAAGTTTTAGCCGATAATTTTTGTTTACATATTTTTTGTGTTTGCAAAATAAAGAATGAAGTTAAAGCTTTCTACATTGACTGTGTTTCAAAATTTTTGTTTAGGAGATACATAAAAACTAAAATCATCCATAGACACACTCCTGAGACAGTTTCTCTGCCTTAGAGTTCCAGGTTCTCTTCTTCCCAAGACTACTGGCTAGCTATCTCCTATCTCTCTGTGCTTTTGCCTTTTCTGTTGAATAAAGCTTTCTCTTCACTAAAGTTACCATTTTCTGTCTCCTTTGCTATAACTCTCACTATGTGTAATACTTCTACTTCCCAATTTTGTTCCTTCCTCGTTTCAGTCAGAAAGTTTATAGTTTTTAAAAATAGCTAAGCAGGGCTGAGAGCTGGCTCAGTGGTTAAGAGCACTGGTTGCTCTTGAAGAAGACCCAGGTTCAAATCCCAGCTCCCACATGGCGACTAACAACTATCTGTAACTCCAGTTTGAGGGAATCCGATGTCCTTTTCTGGCCTCAGTAGGCACTGTATAACGTGGGTGTGCTTACATACATACAGGCAATACACTCATAAAATAGCTAAGGAAACACAAATTATCCAGTCACAATTAATGGGGCATTATTATTTTGAAGTATTTGACTCTTTTGGCTGCTTTTCTGCTTACTACCAAGAAAGTTTCTACAGGGTTGGGAATGAAGGGCAGTGATAGAGTACTTAACTAGTATGCATAAGGTCTTGGGTTTGATCCCCTCCACTGCAGGAAAAAAAAAAAAGATTTTCACTTCTTAGAGCATTACTAGTTACTTATGACTACCAGAAGTAATGAATGAGGTCCTGTTTAGGTAATATGATTTTAGCCAATGTAAATTCATTTTAAATCATGATTTGCACATTGTACTGAGGTTCTCTATTTTTCAAATTGTTGTCTCTCTTCGACAAAGAATGAAGTTATAACAGAACAGCAATTTCTTGTGGATCAGCTGAATGAAGAATTAACAAAACAACTGTCAATGACATCTTCAACTAAGGAAAATTGTAGAGTTGGGCCTGATATCAGGATTCCCGAGAAGAGACCATATACTGTACCATTTGATACTCATCTGGGGCATTACATTTATGTCCCATCCAGACAAGATATCAAGAAGGTAAAGTCCATTTGGTTTTATGGACTTCTGTATGTACATTTCCTCTTAAGCATTTTTAAGAATAGTAAGAGAATGTTTAGTTATACTTACAGGGAATACTTGAATAAAGATAATATTCTGGACTTCATCAAGGATAAAGAGCTGTCTTTGCCATTGCTTTTTCAGAAATGACTAAGTTTGATAGCTTCATGAGTTTTTTCCCTTTAATTTCTCAAAGGCAAGGTAAAGCTAGACAGTATTTATTTATCTTACAATTTTCAAAGAAAACCTTGGTGTCATTCAGTCTGTTACGAAGCTGACATAGTGAAGAAAATCACTATGAAAAATCAACATGAAACTTAGTTTTAATTTTTATTTGTAGATGTATAGGTACTGATCTGTAGATGAATTAATGTGTATGTAGATTTCTCTTGAATAAATCATCAAGGAATTTACTATGGAAACTACTTAATTAGCAGATTGATAATTTTTTGTTTCTCTGTACTAGTTTTATGATGGGCAATTGTTTGTTTGAGATCTGTATTGTAAATTACAGTCAGAGGGATAAGAAATATGAGAAACAAGTTGCACATGGGGGTTAGAAACTTTGTCTTGGGCAGGTTTAGGTATGACTAAACCTCAGTGAGTTTCCTTAGAATAAGCCTGGGGGTTATCATGTTGGGGATGTATTGGAGAGTTTATGTGTGACACTGACTCTTAACAGTGCCCATCACACTGCATCCTCACGATACATCCATGAGTACCTCTATTATGTCCCAGGCTCAGATGCTTCAGTTCAGTAAGAGAAACCCTTACCTGCATGCTTTTCAATTTTAAGTGCTTAGACTCTATATTTAAAATTTTGGGGTTTATTTATTTTTATTTTATGGTTACAAATGTTAGACCTGCGTGTATGTAAGTGCATCCATTGTTAAAAGCCCACATAGGCCAGAGGAGGGGGTTAGATCCACTAGAACTGGAGTTAGAGATAGTTGTTAGTCACCATGTGGGTGCTGGGAACCAAACCTGGGTCTTCTGCAAGAGCAGCCAGTGCTCTTAAGTGCTGATTCATCTCTCCAGTCCCAGACTTTACATTTGAAACCATTGTTATTATTAATTTCAATTTTACTTTGGAAAGTCACAGATATTTTCTTTCTATTTGACTATATGGTTAATTTTCATAGCCTATTTGAGAGGAGTATTAGATTTCTTTATCACTGTGACCAAATATCCAAGGAAATCATCTTAAAAGAGGAAAGATTTATTTTGGCTCATTGGGTTCAGAGGATTCACTTTGATCACTTGGCTCCTTTCTAGGCCCACTGTGAGAAAGAATATCATGGACATGGGAGCTTCATTGCCTCAGTGTCTGGGAAGCACAGAGAAGGGAAATGCAGGAAAGGGACATGATACAATATGGACGGCTGAAAGACATCCCCTCCCCCATGACCTCATGACTCCCAATGCCCCAATGCCTACATTTTTACCTCCTCTCAGTAGTGCCGTCATAATTATGAATCCATCAAGGGATTAATACATTGATTACATTGGAGCCCTGTTGATCTAATTGTCTCTGAAAGCCTCATCTCAGACACACACAGAGGTATACTTCACTAACTCTCTAGGTATTTTTTAAAAAAGATTAATTTTAATTTATGTGTATATTCATATCTGTGAATGCATGCCATTCGTGTGCAGGTGCTCGAGGAGGCCCAAAGAGGGTGTAAGATCCCCTGCAGCTGAAGTTACAGGTGGTTGTGTGTGCACACTCGGATATGCATGCACATGCATATGGAAGCCAAAGGTTAACATCAGATGTCTTCCTTGAGTGCTCTCTGCTATGCATATATTGACAAGGTCTCTCCCTTGAACCCAAAGCTTGCTGACTGGGCTAGTCTAGCATGTAAGCTTGCTCTAGGGATCCCATCTCAGTCTCTCACAGGACGGGATTACAGGCAGGCCACCGCGTCCACCTGGCATTTACATGTGTGCCGGGGAACCAAACTCCAGCCCTCAAGCTTATGCTTCCCCAGCAAGTGCTTTCCCTACTGCACCATCTCGCTAGCTCTCATTATTTCCTAAAAACAGCATTCAAGATAATTTTTTCTGGCTCCAGAAGCTATACATATTTAATTACTTTCCTTTGATCCGTGTTTGTCTGTCCTCCCCACCCATATCTATGTATTTCTCTCAATCGTGCTTCATGCGCCACAGGAAATGTTAAGCCCCTCTTACTCTGTTTTTCTTTTTTATTAGATCCAAAATAGACGTGACTAGATTAAGACTTCCACGGTTACTGTTTCAAATTTGTACTTTTGTTTCATTTTAATTTCTTCTATCCCAAATGAAGAGGAAAAGGAGATACAAAGGTCATATAAGTCAGTTTTGGGAGTTCTGTTCCTGCTGTGTATCCAGAAACCTTGGCCACCTTTCCTGATTAGACTGGTCACTGCAATAACCATGAAAACGCCGTTTTGGTGGGAAGGCAGGCAGCAGAGCCTGCCTTGTTCAAGTCCTATCTGCTCCTCCATCGTTCAAAGAGTAAGGGGCATGTTTGCATTGAATAGGACAGCTAGCATCTAAACTATCACTTTGTTTTCTACTAGATTTATTTTTCCTTTGCTGAAATCTTGCTGATATTTCCAAGTTCTAATATTTTCTTTCTTCAGTTTAGCTCTTTTACTTTCCTGAAATAAAAATAATCTGCCATTATAACAATTCCAGAGAACAAAAGGCTTTATTTGCTTGTGAAATAATACCCAAACCCTGACAAGACAATGGTATCTGTCAGTTGCAGGGCAAAATGGCTGTGCTGGATACCTTATACTTGTTAGCTGAATAAATTTTGGTTTCTTATTCTGTAAAGAATTCCTTTCACTCATGCTTCATTCCTCAGAACTGAGAGGCCACCTAGAAATCTTTATTCCCCATCTAGCCCATTATTGGCAGTCCCATTAGGTGACCCACACTGGGGACACAAAATCAGATAGAAGAGGATCTTCAGCATTAAGTAGGCATTTAGGGGATGAGATATGTGAGGGATCTACTGTCAACTGATTGAATTTTTAAGATTTGTATTTATTTTTTTAATTTCCTATATGCGTACAATGAATTTTGATCATATCTACTCCTCTGCCCCTCCAACCCCTCCAGGACTCCCATCACAACCTTCTCCCAACTTCATGCCCTCCTTATTTACTTGTTTAACTCCCTGGGTCCAGTTAGTGCTGCCCATGTGGACATAGGTTCAGGGTTATCCACTGGGACACGAAGAACATACTAGTGGCCACACTCTTAAAGAAAAGTGATTTTCCTTTCCCAGCAGCCATCAACTGCCAGTTGGCTAGGGATGGGACAGCTAATTGAGTCTTGAGTACCTGTGATACATATAGTCTACTATGTTACAATTTTAATAGCTTATGTAATATTTTATACTACTACTTAATGTCTCCCTTAAGATTTTACTGTTTATTTTGAGAAGTCACCCTATTGTTTAGCTTTAGAGAGGTGATAAGGAATTTTTTGTTAATAGAGCCTAGAACAAAAGTATAAAAGCAATCTTTACCCCATTGTTATTTTCATGGTCATTTTTTGGACACTTAAAGTGCCTCTACAATAGAAACATAATATTGAAGATTCCTAGCTAGCCCATAAAAAGATATCATGTGATATCTATCAAATGTATCATTTGGAGCACTAATTTAGTTATGGGTATCCACCCCATGTGTCAAGGATGAGGAAATGTGCTTGATTTCCAAATTTTGAATGTTGTCTTAGGAGGGAAAGTGGCATTGCTGCTGAATTTCTCCCTGTGTTGGAATTTGTATTGAACAGAATTGTATGCATTCTGCAGCTACCCTACAATTCTCCAAGTGCTAGGAGTGGAATGGTTGGGTTGTGAGCTCATTTTCTGGGGAGCAATTCTGCTATGTGGAAGAGCTGCCATTTCCCCATTCTTCTCTTTGCTTTTATTTTTGGTATTGTTTTCCCTAAAACGATCATCAAAAATAATGCTTTCTAGAAGAAAAAGAACTACGTAGTATCTGAAAGAAATTTGTGTCTGTGAAGCTTATTTCCAGTAATTGGATTTCTAAGAGTACTTACCCTCTAAAAGCACGTTTTGAATCATAGGATCAAAGTAGACATTAAAGAATCACTTCTTTTGTTGTTGGGTGGGTGAATCACTTGCCAGGTCTTCTCAAGTACTCCTTTATACTCTCTGGATCAAATATTGGCTGGGTTTCGAACACGAAGTCAAATGCTGGTGGACCACTTAGAAGAACATGATGAAGTTCTCCACTGCCAGTTTTTGGATAACAGTGATGATGAGGAATCAGAAGGCCAGGAGAAATCTAGGTAAGTTACAGTGAGTCCCATTTATTAAGCATTAGTACAATTTTAATGGTACAATAAATAACAAAAGACATAGTTTCTTTTCATTACAGTGTATCTTTTCCATCTACTGTTATGAAAGTAGTGTTCGAACAGAAGTTATCAGTCTTACAATTAAAAGTTTTTTTCAAGGCTTTTATAGTTACTGGATTTATGTTTTCAGAGATAAATTTTTAGATTTTTTTCTTGCCACAGTGGCTGCAAACATGGTAAATTTCCCTTTGGATCCAAGATGGAAGATTTCCTTTTATTTTAAAGAATATTAGTAAAATTCTGCTTACTTTATAATTGGTTTAAAAATACTGTTATCTTTTGGAGGAACTAATTTGAGAGATTAGAAAATGCTAACAAACTACCTTTAATCCTGTTCTTTTTAAAATTTCATTTTAGATGTAGAAGTTGCTCATGGGTTAAAAAACCAGGCTCTGTTTGCTCTCTTGTTGAGTTGAATGATACTCAGGATGAAACACAAAAATCATATTTGAGGAATGAAGGTAAAAAGTTTTTCTCAGACAATTTAGACATAATGGTTGTAAGACACTTCATATTTTTTTCAAGTGGTAATTTAAAAAGTATCTAGGTACTGTCAAAAACAGAACCTGGTAGAAATGCTTCTGTGTTGGTAAGACTAATTTCATATTCTCAGTTATACTCCTGTTTTTTTCATTCCTTTTATTCCTTAATTAAAAAACAAAAAACTAATCTGGGTACACTCAGGTGGCTGAGCCGGGATTTCGAGTTTAGGGTGAGCCTGGACTACATAGTGTGACCCTGTCTCAAAAAAAAAAAGTTTTCTGCTAATCATTTCTGGCTAGAGACATAAACTGTTTCATAATAAAAGTTGATACTCAGACTTGAGTTGCTTACCCTGAAGTAGACTAAGTAATCTACTAGATGTCTGTTTCCCTCGATACTGCCATACATGTTCTCCAGATTGACATGTATTAATAATGTTTTAGAACAAATGGATGTGAATTTATGCATCAAATAGCAATATTAAAAAGTTATGTAACAAAAATTCGAATAGGTTTCTAAAAATATTTTAAAAAATCATGTGTGTCTACATGTGGGCATGTGCATATGAGTGCCCGTTGAGACTAGTGGTGTTGGAGTCCCCCATAGCTGGAGTTACAGCCAGTTGTGAGCCATCAGATTGGGGTGCTAGAACCAAACTCTGGTCCTCTGCAAGAGCAGTACATTCTTCTAACTGCTGAGCTATCTTTTCAGCCCTCCAGTAGGATATTTTAATTCATCTCTTTTTGACCTGAAGTGGGTCAGTACACAAAAAGTAGGATTATAGATAACATGAAAAGTCCCAAAATATGAAAATAGCATATTTTTAAAGAGCCTCTGCATGTAATATTTACTAGAGTTTGACTCTGTTGAAACTATTAATTTAAAATGTAAAAGTGGTAAAGATAAGTGCTATTCAGATAGCCATTCTTGAGCCATTTGTTACTGGTCTGCAGCCACAAAGGAAACAAGGCGCCTTTGAAAGAGTCTGATTATGAAACATTTTTTAAAATGAGCTGAACAAAAGCAATATTCTTAGTAAGATATTAATTTGAATTCTGGTGCAGGACACTGACACACTGTACCAGAGCACACTCGAGCAGCAAGCTATAGACTGTGTTCTCTTGTTAACAATAAAACTAGAAGTTAATAGGAAAAATTTACCACTTGGAGAGCTTATACCTCTTTCAAATAACTTTAGTTAAAGGAAATTATGAACTGAGTTTCCAGCCCTTATGGGATATGATAAAATATATGCACATGTATATATGCATATATAAAGGTGTATGTTCTTAGTTAAAAATTTTAAGTACAAACTATTACTGTAAGCTGGAAAGCTGAGCTCTCAACTGCTATGCATTCATTTTCCCTTCCCTCTGTCTCCCCTTCCTCTGCCACCTTTAAATTCTTGTTCTGCTTTTCTTTTCAAATTCTACTTCAGTTTTTATGCACAGGTATTTTTGTTGCTTAGTTTTTTTTCTTTGATTTTAAAGATTTGAAGATGGAATGTCTCCAGGAAAGTCAAGAGTCAAATTTGCAAAAATTAAGGACTTCCGAAGTCATACTTAATAAAGCTAAACAGAAAATGAGAGAACTTCCAATTAACATCAGGATGAAGGAAGATCTGATTAAAGAGTTAATAAAAACAGGTAACAGTATTCTGTACGTATATGCAAACGAAGAACTTCTAAAATGGCTCAGAATTATCCGCTGTAGCTCAGATTAAGTATAAAAATATGTGCTTTAGAGCCAATATGTGGAGAGGTTTGTTAGGCTGGGATTTTATCTTTTAATTGTTCTAACTTGTGTAAATGCTGGGTTATGTTGAAACTTCATGGCACTTAATTTTTGTGCCATTTTAAGAAAAACATATTTGTCTCACCTTTTGTTTTCTTTTTTTCCTGTGATGTTGGGTTAAATCCAGGATTTTAGCTGGCCCTACCTCTGTAATCCCACACTTTAAAGGCTGAGGTAGGAAGGTTGCTGTGAGTTCCAAGGCCAACTTATACTACATAGCGAGACTCCCTCAGAAACAAACAAACATGCAAACAAAAACTTGGGTTGTTGCATATACTGGGTAAGTGCTGTACTAATGAGCCATGCCCCCCAGCAGTACTCATTTTAAATTATTAATCATCAACTTAGTTCAATCTTAATCAGTTAATTATTTTTTGTGTTGGTGATTGAACACAGAGCCTTGAGCGGGCTAGGCAAGTGTTCTGTCATTGAGCTATATCCCCAAGCCTGATACTATTAAACTATCTTTTAGATAGTTCTTGAAAGCTGTTCTCTTTGGTGAGCCAAGCTTTAGCACATTTCTATCTCACATCCTGTCAGGTTGATAATATATACCACATCCCTCCTTCTCAGTTAGATCAGGTTTGCCTTAAAAGGGAAACTGGGACTTTTGTTTTTTTCCTTCCAGTATTCTCAAAAGGATCAGTCAAGAATTAAAGGAATGAGAGACACTAGTGTTTCTTTGTCCTAATTTCAATTCAGAACAATTCTGGTCTCATTTAGGGGAACTGAAGAACATGTAGTCCCTTTTTGTGTGGGGGCCAGGGGTGATGCTTGTGTATGTGGTAACCAGAGGACAACCTTAGATGTTACTTCTCAGGCACCATACACCTTTTTTTGAGACAGAGTCTCTCACAGCCTTAAGCCATGCCAAGTAGGCCAGGATGGCTGGCCAGTGAACCCTAGGGATCCACCTGTCTCTACCCCTTCAGCACTGAGATTATAAGTGCCATTGTACCAGGCTTTGTTACATGAGTTCTGGGAGTTGAACTCAGGCCCTCCTGCTTGCAAGACAAACACTTAAATTTAAAAAAATTTTTAATTTTATGTGTTTGAGAATTTTGTCTCCATGTATGTAGTTACACTATGTGTGTGCAAAGCCTATGGAGATTAAAAAAAAAAGGGGAGGGGGTTGGATCCCCTGGAACTGAACTGGAGTTATGGCCTGGAACTGGAATTATGGACAGTTGTTAGCCGCCATGTGGGTGCCAGGAATTAAACCCAGTTCTCTACAAGAGCAACCAGTGCTGTTAACCACTGAGTAATCTCTCCAGCCCCTGTGAGCACTTTTTTGACAATGTAGTTTATGGTAAATTTCAATTATTCTCCAGCAAGAAAAACATGGCTTTCCTATTTGTCGCCTTCCTTGCAAGCTGTTTTCTAGCTATTGGTCCTTTTTTCTGCTTTCCCAAAGTCTCTTCCTGCCTCATTCCTACTGACATACAATCTGTATATGAGCCTACCTCCAGTTATCCCAGATGTTTCAAGACAGTTCTAGTTCTAGGACAGTGCCTTCTTAAATTGAGAATATTTACCTCCCAGAATAAATGATCTTTTAGAGAGGTGTCTCAGCATGGATCTCACTGAACAAGTATGATTTTGTACCCCTGTACACCCATCCGAGTTGCTTTAAAATAGAAGACACCCGAGTTTGTATACAATCTTTTTATTCATTAGAACCAAGGATGGTTTGGAGCTTTCCTAAATATCTTCAGAGATGGTGACTAGTAAAATTAACAGTGCATGCTTACTTTTCAATATTCTCACTAAAACCTTCTTCCACATAGTGGCTACTGCCAGCCATCAGTAATAACAAGGACATGAATGCTATAGTCATCTATTCTAATATGCTTTTATAACTTAATATCTTCTGAAATCAGTATATGTCTTATAGTCCATGTACACTTAACATTGTGATAAAATTGGCCCTATGGCTTTTCTCTTAGCAGTTCATATGTTTGTTAAAATACATAGTGTTGTATGTATTTTATTTATTTAGGACATGTGGGAGTTGAACCTGGGGCCTCATACATGATAGGCATGTGCACTCTACCAATAAGCTAGCCTATCAACTCCCTAGTTCTTTTTTTTTTTTTTTGTCTTTTTTGAAGCAGGGTCTCCCTGTAGCCCCAGCTGTCCTGGAACTCACTATGTAGACCAAGCTGGCCTTGAACTCACAGAGATCCGCCTGCCTCTGCCTCCCAAGTGCTGGGACTACAGGCGTGCGCCACCATGCCCGGCTATATTCTTTTTATTTTTAAGTGAGGTATTTATAGAATTTTAAAATGAAACTGGGTGTGGTGGTGCATGTCTTTAATCTCAGCACTTGGGAGGCCGAGGCAAGCAGATCTCTATGAGTTCAAGGCCAGCCTGGTTTATATAGTGAGTACCAGGACAGCTGGGGCTACAGGGAGACTTGGGAGGCAGAGGCAAGATCTCTGTGAGTTGAAAGCTAGCCTGGTCTACATATTGAGTTCTAGGCCACCTGGGACTACAGGGAGACCTTGTCTCAAAAAGACCAAAAAAAAAAAGAAAAGAAAAAAAACCCACAACAAAAAAAGAGAAAATAGACAAGATTTTAAACTGTTGCATTGATTCTGCTAATTTAACCGACAACTAGTATTTCCAGAGTAGCAACAAAGTAGTTCATAGACATAAGAAGAGCTGAAATACCAAACTTAGGAAGCATAGAAATTGAGCAGCTCCAGAGCCCTCAAGCAGTAGGAGCTCACAGGCTTCTGAGGGCATAGCCTCTATATGCCACATGATTCTAAGCACCTGCCTTCACTCTGCTGAGAGAGTCTCCCCCTCTTCAAGTTTTTTGTTTTTTAGATTTTCGTTTTTTTGCTTTTTCTTGTTTTTTTGTGACTGGGTCTCCCTGTAGCCCCAGCTGGCCTGGAACTCGCTATGTAGACCAGGCCTGCCTCTTCCTTCCAACCTCTTCAAGTTTATAGATTTAGAGTCCCAGCTCACAATCTAATGGGGTCTACCTTATGTCAAGTATCCTCATCTCTGACCAATCAGCAATGGCCAAGACTGGAGAGCATAGACATGATCTCTAAGGAAATAAGGAACTGTTTACCACCTTAGTTATCTGAAGTACCTACTCTTGACCAGAAATTAACAGTTTGTTTACTGTGCTCTTATGTATGAGGTTTAGTACTTAGCTCAATGTGAGAAATATTCCACTTAATAAATTTTAATGTAGTGTATATCCTGTTCAGCATTATAATGAATATGATACATTTCATATAATGTGTTCTTGAAAACAGGTTGTTTTATGTTGTATTTCTCTAAACCAATGTTATAAAAATAAATACTGAAGTAAAATATTGTTAAAATTTAAACAGACTTGCGGAAGAATGAAATTATGTCATTTCTTGAAAAGGGAATGGAACATGGATCATCATGTTAAGTAAAATAAGCTAAACTCAGAAAAACAAGTATCACATTTTCTATCATATACAGAATCTAAATTGAAAAGAGAAAAAGGCATAAAGTAGAAGGGGGCTATTTGGAAAGAGGAAGGGCAGATCAGAAGACATCTTATGGAAGTCAGTTCACTTCTCCATGTGGGCCCTGAGGACTGAACTCAGATCATAATCAGGCTTGGCAGCAAATACTTTTTTACCCACTGAGCTGTGTCATGAACCCTGGGTTAAAGGGTTCCTAAAAGATATAACAATCAGACATATTAATAACCTTATTTAGATCCTATTAAAATAAACCAATTATAAGAGTTATGTTGAAGCCATTGGGGAAATATGAATATGGAACAGTGTGTATTAATATTGCTGGGAATGATAATGACTTTTTGGTTGTATCTGTATTTTGTAAAGATGCTACTGAAGTAAGTACAAATGACATGATATAATATCTGGGATTCATTGAGAATACTGAAGCAAAGTAAAACCAAAGAAGGCTTAGTTTACAAATCAACTGAGACATACTAATACTAAAACATTTCATAATTTTTTGAACAAAATTCAAGAATACAGATCATGGGTAGCGAAAGCTAAAATGTACTGAGCAAGTAGACAAAGTCACTTCTGGTAACTTAACTGAGGTGCCATGCCAGTAAAACACAATTGTAAATTCAGAAGATTGAAAATAACTGAGTTTGGAGAGGCAGTTCAGTGGTTAAGAACATTTGCAGGGGGCTGGAGAGATGGTTCAGTGGTTAAGAACACTGGCTGTTCTTGCAGAAGACCGGGGTTTGAATCCCAGCACCCACATGGCAGTCTAACAACTGTCCATAACTCCATTTCCAGGGGATCTGACAGCTTCTTCTGTACTTGATAGACACCATGTACATAAAACACACACACACACACACACACACATAAATAAATAATAAAATCTTTTTTTAGAGTAACACAATAGAATACAAAAGATAAGCCAATGAGAAGATAAGCTGGAACCAGATGGGAGCAGGCATTAAGAAACTAGTCATGTTGGGCGTGGTGGCGCACACCTTTAATCCCAGCACTTGGGAGGCAGAGGCAGGCGGATCTCTGAGTTCAAGGCCAGCCTGGTCTACATAGTGAGTTCCAGGACAGCTGGGGCTACAGGGAGACCCTGTCTCAAAAAGACCGAAAAAAAAAAAAAACCCAAAAACCAAAGAAATTAGTCATGGGGCTAGAGAGATGGCTCAGCGATTAAGAGCACTGACTGCTCTCTCAGAGGACCCAGTTACAATTCCCAGCACCCACATGGGGGCTACAAACCATCCTTAACTCCAGTTCCAGGGGAATCCAAGGCCCTCTTCTGATCTCCATGGCATTGCACGACTCGGGTGCGCTCACATACATGCAGGCAATACACTCATACACGATAACATAAAAATAATAAATAAAATAAATAAACTAGTCATTAGATGAGCATGGTGGCACACATCTTTAATCCCAGCTCTTGGAAGACAGAGGCAGGTAGATCTCTGTGAGTTGGAGCCTCACCTGGTCTTCATGGTGACTTTCAAGCAAGCCAGGACTGAATAATGAGACCCTGTCTCAAAAATATTAAATATTAATTAGTTGGCAAGCTGGGTTTGATGGATGAGTGAGGTCAGCTGGGTTTTTAATTATACCTTAATTGGTGACTCTGCCCTCTAACTTTAGAGTATTTTTGTTTTAACTTTTAAACATAATTTTACTCATTACTGTTGATATTTTGCTGAAGGTAACAATGCCAAGTCTGTAAGCAGACAGTATTCTTTAGAAGTAATAAAACTGGAACATGAAGCAGAACAGGCAAAAGTGGAACTAACTGAAACACAGAAGCAGCTGCAAGAGCTGGAAAACAAAGATCTTTCTGATAAGGCTTTGAAGGTAAAATTACAGAAAGAGTTCCGTAAAAAGATGGATGCTGCAAAGCTGAGAGTTCAGGTAATTTACAAAATGTAATTGAGTAAACTTTTTAAAGCTACTTTTTCTTAACTGAGAATCCTGCTGGACTGGGGTAGGGAGGGTGCTCAGGGTAGAGTTCTTACCTAGTATATGTGAGGCACTGGGATTGAGTCCCAGTACCACAAAAAGAAGAGAGGAAATTTTTTTCAAGATTCTTGTACTAAGTTTGGAGAGAAATGGAATTCAGTTTTTAATTATTAAGAGAAACTATGGCTTTGATTTTTTTCCCCATGTGCTGATTACTTTTTGTGTTTTACAATCTGGGTAGTGTTTCTTAATTAAACAAATATATTTTAATCTTGGTATAAAAATCATATAGTAAGAAATAAAGATAACAGAAATTGTATCCTTTTTTGAAGGACAAAGATTAAATAATGGTTAAACAATGCACATAAAACATCAGGTACCCATGTGACCTTTTGTAGACACTCATTTGTTTGACTGGGATTAAATTTAACACTGTTAGTTAATACTAGCAGTATGAAGACTGAAATGTGAGCCCATTTTTTTTGATGCTGCTGACAATTTTAGATGTTAAAGTAATGGACTTTCAGGGACAGTGATGAGTTCTGATATTCTTCATTGAAAGGATTCATGATTAAAGCCACAGAGTTAAATACAAAATAATAAGGCACGATAATAAGAGTGGAAGGGTTGAGAGATGGCTCAGTGTTTAAAAGCACTGACTACTCTTGCAAGAGAACCCAAGGTTGGTTCCCAGCACCCATATGATGGCTAATAACTGTCCATAACTCAAGTTCCAGGGGATCTGATGCCCACTTCTACCCTTTTATGGCTTCTGCAAGTGTTGCATGACATGGGTACATTTATATACATGCAGGCAAAACACTCATACACATAAAAGAAAACTAAATAAACTCCCCAAAAATTAAAAAAATAAGAGTGCAATGTTGTATAATCACATAGAAGAAAGAACAAATCTTAGACCTCTAAGTAGAAAACTAAAAGGAATGGAGAATCTTTTTGCATGCATATATATAACATCTGGAAGAATATTTAGTAATTTTTCATCAAGGAAAAGGATAAGTAGATGTGGGGTCTTGGATAAGATAATTGTTTAAATATCCAATTTTGTGTTAATTTTTACCATATATAAAATTTTTATATATGTGTGTTTGTGACAGAATTTCACTTTGTAGCCCAGGATGACCTGGAATCTGCCTCTGCCTCAGCCTTCTTAGTGGCGCACATGCACATACACATATAAGTTGATTAATACACTGCTACACTGCAAGGGGGTTGCAGACAAGGCAGTAACTAAAATACTTCATGCCACACATATTTTTAAATTAGAATTAATAAGGAAGCAAAAGAGGTAGAGTTTGCTTTGGTTGTCAGTATAAGTCCGATCTTTCTTTAGTTTTTTATATATCTGATGAAAAGTATCGCAAAATTAGAAATGTAGAAAAGCAAGCATGTTTGTGAATGTTTTAAAAATAAATATAAAACTAGAGAAACTGGATGCCCTTACCATTGAATGAAAACATCGTGTAGTTCAGAAATGAGAGAGGTGCTCTTTTTTGTCTTGAAATATTCCATCTAATCTCAGGTCTTACAAAAGAAGCAACAAGATAGTAAGAAATTGGCATCACTGTCAATGCAAAATGAGAAACGTGCCAGTGAACTAAAGCAAAATGTGGATCACCTGAAATATCAGAAAGTACAGCTGCAAAAAAGGCTTCGAGAAGAAAATGAGAAAAAGAAGCAACTGGATGCAGAAATTAAGAGGGATCAACAAAAAATCAAAGTAATTTTGTCATACATTTCTAGGTGTAATATGAAATGTTAAAAACGCAGAGCTAATGAAGTTAAGGTTGATTGTGAAATATCACCTTGGCCTGCTTTTCAGTACTCTACTTACCTTAAAGCTTTACTCCCCTACATAGTAAAACCTATTTATTGAATTCTGGGTGCTGTCTTGAAGGTTCTGATGTCATAAAATAATGTGCAATGATAAAACTTCTGAAGATGAAGATTTCAATTTTTTTAACTTTAAAAAACTTTATTGAGAATTTCATACATGCATATAAGGTGTTTTGATCAAATCCACCCCCACCCACTCCCTCCCCTCCAACACCTGCCATATCTCTCCATCACTTTTTTCTGACAACTTCACGTACTTTCTTCTTTTTGCTACTTTAACATTCCGCCCTCTGAAGAGGTAACCCTAAAATCTTTTAAAGATTAGATACAAGCTCCCAAATACTTTTGACGTTTTTGGCCTTTG